CCTCAGAATCTGGTAACATGAATCCACATATGAATGTGTGATCAGTTTTAATTGTGGTAAGAAATGCTTTTAATTTTCTCAGGGTGTGTATCATCATTCCAATTTAAATTTGCTCCGTTCTCCACCTTGTTGTTTGTCTCATGTGGAGAATTAGTACTTTCAAATTACGGATTAAACTTTGAATTCCTCAGTGAAGTTGTAAGCTCTTTATTATGCACAGACACAACTGAGAAACCCCAAGTACCTTCCACTTTGCATTCCTCTTGTGCAGAAGCTTCTCTCGTTGGTACAGAAAGCCAATTGATTCTTCATAATCATGTCAAAGGACAGAGTGAAGATCAGCTTAAATTGTAAATATACCTGCCATTTTCCACATTCAGCCAGAAATCCTGGCTCATCCTAGGTGGTGGTTGGTGGAGCCAACCTGAAATGCTGCCAAGAAGGTTGACAACATGTGAGTTTTTTATTTATTTTTTTTATTTTTTTTACAATTGTTAAGCAATTTCTTTTATCAGTGCTGACTGTCACAGTGTTTTTGTCAGAGGTGCAGCAGTAAACTGGGAGTGCTCTTTTTGTTGTTTCTAATCAAGTTCTGGCACCAACACAGTGGCTTTTGCAGTGTCAGAAGTACATAATGTACTCAAAACAGACTAGAAAAACTAGCATGCTGCATATGTGGAGCTAACGTGTCTTATTATTGGACTTTATCAGTTTAACAAAGACCTATACAACGCAACAGGTCTCATGATGATTGTTCTCTCAAGCCAGCCGACCAGGTGACCTGAGTTGTCCACAGATGGGGAGGAGACAACTCCCAAAATGTTGAATGACCTTTTCTGTTTTTAATATAGGGTTAATGACTGGATATAATTCACACACACACACACACACACACACACACGCACGCACGCACACACACACACACACACACACACACACACACACACACACACGCCTCTCATATACATGTATAACCCCTAAAAGTGTGTGCAGGTGAAATTTCACGAGTCTCTATGCGACTTCTGTATTTTTGAGAGAATGCTGGCTTTTACTGGTGTGAGTGAGAGGAAAACATTCATTATGTCTAGCTGGTTGGATCCTGTTTTTAACTGTCTGCTTTATCTAAACTGATTGTGAGTGAGTCACCACCACTCAGCATATCTAAGAGTGGCTTTAGCTATCTTTATTTCCTAACCCTGAATGGTGTGTGTTGATATAGGTAATTAGTGTAGGATATGTGACACAGGCAGTAGTAGAAAACCACTATATCGAAGTCTCATCCCTTATCAGAAAGCCCCTGGGCTGCATAAATAACTCTACAGAGCCATAAATGAAGCAACGGTGCTGTCTGTATTCTACATGTAAACAGAGCTATAATAAATCCATTAGAACTGAATGGCCTAATCACATTTACAAAGGGGTTTTCTCAAAAACCAAGCTTTTTAAAGTGGGGTTTTGTTGTTTGTTTTTCTTCTAATGTGTAATGGTTAGGACTCAAACCAATCTCAACCAGAAGAATAAACTGCTCTTCTTTTTAAAAGAGTTTAGGGACAATCCTCTAACAGGGAACATTTTCCTAAACTTTGTTTGGACTTCTCTCTATAGGCCTCCTGCGCCTTTCTTCAAGTTCAAGACCTCATTCTCTTATGTGGAAAATGTGTTGTGTTTTCCTCCCACTCGTTAATACTCCACATCATTTTCTGAGCTGAAGATAAAAGCAATTCACTCCACTGCATTGTCCTATTTATCTAATTGTAAGTGGATTCTCACTGTACTAAACCATGAGGACTCGTACGCATGCACGCACGCACGCACACACACACACACACACACACGCACACACACAGTTGTACACACAACATTTAGGGCTCTTCATAAATGGATGAGAGTACTTGTTAACATATCACATTCCAGGAAATATCTCTCTCTGACCTCCCTACTCCATCTTCCCTCCACCTACCTCGTCCTCCTACATTCCCCACTCTCCTTGGCTGCTGCCGTTACCATGGAAACAAAACAGGTTTTAAGGGATGCAGTCATGTGTTTGCTGGCATAATGGTGAGTGGCATCCCAGGAATTCCACACCCTCCTGTCTTTGGCCAAAGAGGAAGTTCTAATTAATGAGGTCCAAGAAATAGATGGCTTACAGAGAAAGTTCAGAATATCAGGGCAAACATGGACAGTGTGTCAGAAAGTCGAGTCGCACATTGAGAAAGTGAATTTGTTTCATCACACCATCAAAGAGTGGTCACTAAATTGGACTGTTATTAGATGATATCTTAGTAGTACTGTAGTTGAGCAATGAAAAGTAGTATTTCGCATTTTTATCATGTTAAAGGTACATTTACCAGCTTCAGACACATGGCAATAAAAATCCTGGGTGTATATATATATATATATATATATATGTGTGTGTGTGTGTGTGTGTGTATGTATGTATGTATATGTTTATATTTGTATATGTATATATATATATATATATATATATATATATGTGTGTGTGTGTGTGTGTGTATATGTATATATGTATATGTTTATATTTGTATATGTATATATATATATATATATATATAAAGTTTAAAACCTTTTGACTTGCCTTTAAACCTGAACCTCCACACAATTTTTAAATCCTTTTACACTCCTACACATTTTATTTAAACAGAAGCCAACATTCACTGTTCCTGCTGCTCTTAATTTAGTAATGCTTTTATAATGTTTTTAAATTTCTCTTTAACACCAGTGTTTGTATCTCTTCACATCAAAATGTCCTTGGATTAAACAACATTTATGAAAATTCAAGTTCAAATTATGCTCTGTAAAATTGCAGCCATCAATACATTTAGGGGATTGGTTTAATTCTTGTTGCCATCAAATGATAAATTGGTTAAATGGCATTATTCATACAAACAATAGTGTGTTTTCTCAGCTCTTCCTTTTGTGTTTCTGCAGAGCAATTAAAAAAGCACTTTGGCCTGTGTTCATTTGCTTTAGCTTCCATTTAGATCAACCAGTAGCTCCAATTAGGAGCAGCAGCTTCCTTTTCTGTCTGCATGCCAGTCTCTAATGGCTGGATTCATTGATTCAAATTCAAACTAGAGGGGGTTTAATGAACAGTTTTTTTTAGCAAGAGTTTTATAGGAATCTGCAGACCCACAGACAATTTGCCGAATAGTTCACACACGATTAATTATGCATTGTAGTATTTTTCTTGAAACAAGAGAATAAAAGAACACTAAGCAGTGTGCTGAGAGGGTGTCTGTTGACATTTGATTCAGATAATGTGTTGATACTACTGGATATAATTACTCTGAGAAGAATGCCAAAACAAAAGCAGAAATGCTGACTGCTCATTATATTGCACAAAGCAAGATATGATTACTTTTGTGGAGTAAATTATAGGCTAACGTTACAAATATCTTCTAACTCCTCTTGTTACATAGAAATCACCTCAAAAAGACCCAGAATAGTCCATTCCAGGTTTTGGATGATTTTAAATGTTCTTTTGAGGTTGTCATCCAGTGTGAGGGGAGACATTGGTCCTGTTTTTCACTGGTAAACTAGATATTAGTGGTTACCCATTGCTGCCTCTTGTCATTACCACGAGACTCACCCACCCAGGAAAGACCAGCCGAGGTTCAACAGGCCTTTTTTAGAGTTTGTTGTTGGTAAAAGTAAACATTCAAAATGAATTTACTTATATTGAGTCCAGATCATTATGACAGTTAAAAGTTTCCTTTGTAAGAAAACCCAGCAGGTTGCATCGAGTCGCTGACTGTTTAGATCAGAGACTTTACAGCAGCCTCCATACTAAAGCCCAATTCTGCGACAGAGACAAACAACGCCATTTTGTGTCTGTGACAGAGACATGCCCCAAATGTTAGATTGCCGTGGAGAGGAAAACTCGCCAGAAGCTGGTTTAGTTCTAGGTTAGGTGTTTAAATAGTTCATTCAGTTTGGTGTTACTGAGAGACTAAATCTGTTTAAAATATCTAAAAACAAGCTTTACAACCAGTAAGACGCTTACAAGGCCATAAGAAGAAGAAGAAAGTATCATTTTTATAGCTAAGACATTTTTATAATGTAAGTATAGCTTAGCTTCCCCATGGCTTTTTTGGCCTGCCTATATTAATTGTGGCACTTAAACGTTTATTATTTTATCAGGTGGTGGTTGTTATGCAAGGGTTGAGAACCACTGCTATCATTTCTCAGGAGGTGAAACCAGACCTGACAACATGATGGCACCAATAAGTCACCACAGTGTTCCAGGAGGAACAGTTCATCCCTTTTTACTTCAGCATTTGGTGCAGAACATAGAAAGTTGTATTGTGTTTATGTTTTAGATTATATAATATTGTAAGCCAGTTGAGATTCAATTTCATGTTTTGTACGTAAAAATGACAAAAGTTTCTAGTTGAAGAAAAAATCCCTGTGAACTGATTTAGCTGGTTTATGTAGCCAAAAATGCATCCTGAAAAAGCAAGAACCTATTCTTTAATGGTTTCCAAACTGGCAATGGGAATCCTGCACCTTGCTGAAGACAAAGACAAAGCTACTGTTGTTAGCTTTACAGTGTCAAATAAACATTAAGTCACATATTTCTTTTCTTTTTCTAATGCATCTTAAACAGATGTAGGTCTTTTCCTTTACAAGGTGACATCGTGCTCTCAGCTTTTTAATTCAGCCGTACGGTGGTGAAATGCCCACGGTGCATTGAGTGCAAAAGAACAACAATTTTTGATACAACTTAATGCAAATGAGAAGGTTGTTTTTCAGGTTGTTGTACAAAGTGGGTGAAGCTTTCTTTGCTCTTTTTTATCTACAGATTTATGCCATAAATAACTTAGAAAATTTTGCGGTTAGGTTTAGGGTGTGAAAGAAAAAGGAATGAACTTTCCTGCTACATGAGTGTGTTTTAATGATGTATAGTTGAAGTTGAGGAAAGGTAAAGATGTCTGTCTGTCACGTTCCACCTAACCCACTGTGATCATACACGATTTCAGATGCTGGTGACGACTCCTGAGAAGTGGGATGTTGTGACCAGGAAGAGTGTTGGAGATGTGGCTCTATCACAGATTGTGCGCCTGCTTATCCTGGATGAAGTTCACCTGCTACATGAGGATCGAGGTCCGGTGTTGGAGAGCCTGGTGGCCAGAACCATCAGACAGGTCATTCCTCCTCCCTCTAATATCTGATGTGTTGTGTGTTTAGAATGAATAATTGTAGGAGACCATTGTAATTGTTGGGTGTCCCAAAATATTGAGCCTGTCCCCGTTGAAGGTTAGGCTCTACCAGAGCTGCCTTTTGTCTCTGGGTCTTTAATTGACAAAAATCCAAGTGTGTGGATTAAGAGTTGTTTCAAAACGACTTCATACTTGCGTTTTCCCATCACTCTGGAACAGGTTATACTCATCAATTCAGAGTGCTGTTCACAAACATCTTTAGATGTAGTTGACTACATCTAATCTTTTTGTTTTCTAATCGTTTTGTTCATGTTTTACCTTGTTGTGATTATTCCTCCCATAAAGTTTTCTTTTCACGATTGACTCTGATATTTACATATAGTGTTGCCAAGAAGAGGCTTTTTGTTTCACCATGGAAAGGCTCATGCCATTATCCACCACTTTTGGCTAAGCTGCTTGGAGTTCACGAGCTCAACTAAAACCTCTTTCATCCGTCCCTCTATCCGTTTTCCTCTGCTGATCTGGGTCCATGTCGTGGGAATAACAGTTCCAGCAGAGAGGCCCCAACCTCCCTTTCATAGGAACTTCCAGCTCCACTGGTGGGACTCTAAGGCGTTCTCTAGCCAGCGTGGAGATATAATGACTCCATCATGTCCTTAGTTGACCCAGGAACCTTCTGCCGACAGGAAACATGAAAGGCACCCAGGCATCCTGACCTAGTGCCCGAACCACCTCACCTGGCTCTTCACAGTATGGAGGAGTAGCACTCCACTCCAAGTCTCTTACAAATGTGTGGTCTCCCTCTCTTTCCTTCCCTCACTTGTGAAAAAAAGCCCAAGATACTTAATGTGCTGCACTTGAGGTAGGACCTAGGGGGCTGAATAGTCAGTTTCTGATCAAAATTGCCATTTGAAGCAAAGCAATCTAATGATGGTCAAAGTTGTGGTTTTATTTTTTATTTACTTATTTGTTTTAAGCCAGCTGACCATGATTCTGTTGTGGCAACTATTTCATACATCAGGGGTTTCCCCAGATTTAAAAGCACATTAGCAGCGAGTAGTGGGGTTGGAGGTGGGGGGTCATGAGAGCCCAGTGCTTGAGCTGATGTAACGGTGCATCAGCAGTGTATTTGCCTGTTTTTCCTTTCTTTTCTTTTTTGTGGCGCAGCGAGGGCAAATATTAATAACAGTTGTGGTCATCTGTCGCTCATTTTCTGCCCCTTAATCAGCCCCTCAGCAATTCATGATAGTGAGATGGAAAGTCTGAGTCATCTGCTTCCTGCAACAGTGGAAAGGGGTTTACTGTAGTATCACTGTGGTTTTTACATGCGCATCAGAAATTATGTCAGTCTGGCTGAAGGTAAATCGAAGCACCCACATAATGAGGTAGAAACTACTTCACTGCATGTAAACGGCTCCGTTAAACAGATTCCGGTTGTTTCTGGAAGTGTCGAGGCTGCGGAAGCGATCTTATAATATCATCGTCACAAAGTAAAGCGTGTAACACCAACAAACAGTACAGTGCGTACCAAATAAACTGTAGTGCAGCGTTGTTGTCCATTCTTTTGGCCATTATGCATATCCTGTTTTTACTCTGCTTCACTATTGCTGGTGTTTGTACTATTTGTGTTGCTGTAAGCCAGTGTTTTTCAATCATTTTTGTCAACCCCCGCCACACACACACACACACACTTGTATTTGTATGTTTATGTGGACTTCCATTCATTTTAGTGACTCCACTATGCCTAACCCATACCCTGACCAATGGGGTTCTATTCCTAACCTAAACTAAAAGTTAAATCGCACACACCATACCTCTAAAACCAAGTTTTAGGGTGCTCCGCATTGTGTGGACCGGCAAAATGTTCCCACAATGTGGAAATGTCCACATGTTACAGGTTAAAGTTGAAACTTGTCCACTTAAACATATAAAGACACACACACACACACACACACACATGTTTAGTTCAAGCTAATAAATGCATAATTTCTTCTTATTTATTAATATTTTTATCTTAATGTGTCACTTGCTTACAGTAAATCCTCTAATACAGGCCTGGGCCTGTATTTGACTCAAGCTCATCAAGCTCCAGGCCTTTATTGGAAGGAGGACCAGAATTAGAGGCAGGCCTCTATTTCTATTTGAGCAAAATGAACTAATGGTTCGCTGGAGTTTTTGACAATTAAAATTGCGCCCACATTTTCAAAGTTAAACACATTTCTTTTAACAACGGTAGTTTCTGCTTCAGCCCTCTCCCCCCTCCCCCTGCGCAGCAGCTGCAAACTCACTGATGCGCTGCAGCCTCTCGGAGTTCCTGCTGCTCTAAACATTAAAATAATTATTTCATTTTCTGTTCCTCACCTCTGATTACCTTCAATGGTGTCTGTTTTTTGCAACCACCAGGTACAAAAACTAACTTGTTTTTATTTGACTATTTTTCTGTCCTGTCTGTTTATTATCTTCCTGCATCTCCTCTCAGTCCTAAAGAGAAACTGCTACCTGGGTTCATATATATTCACCTTATGAGTTACCTTTGAACTGCAGTTCTCAAAGATCTACTGACCGCTAAAACAGCGGAGTGCTCGCTGCTTGCCGGCCGCATCAGTGATCGGTGCGTCACCGGAGGACAAGGTGATGCGCCCCGCTCCACAGCGAAATGCATCAGGCGCAAATAAAAGACAGAAAACATTAAAGGAAATGAGCCGACATGAACGATCGCGCGTTAAATTAGTTTTTGAGGTGGCGACACCTGATTTGATAATGTTACTGTGGCCGTGCTCAAGACGCAGATGTTTGGAGCGCGTCAACAATCAGAGCTTTGCATGCGCAAGCTGGTTAAGGTTAGGATGGAGTGAGGGGAAGGTTAAATTGCAAGAGGGTAAACGTCACAATTTGGTTAAATGTCCGTTTTATGGCGGGTGTCGGTACTGACGCTCTGGCACAGGGCGTCACCTCTCGATGCGCAGGAGCTTGTCACCTGCTGACAGCAGGCTGCTGTCTTTTCCGAGGGCTGCATCTTGCTGGTCATTATCACGTGACGACGACTAGTCGATGACAGGCATAAAAAGTCACTATAGTGAAGTCGACTAGTTCATACAGCCCCTGCTACTGCTCCCCAGAGTGTTCTGCAGCATAATCAGCACATTCTCTTTGAACTTAATATCAAATTTTCACCTCCTCTTCATCTCCGCACGGTTAAAGTTACCCTCGCGGTCTATCACTGGCAAATCAAAAGTGAGACGGATGACACAACCGCCCCCCGTACTTGTTTGTTACCACATTCCACCCGGCCACAATAAAATACCGGCCATTATTCACCTCTGCCGACTCCGACACCAGCCAAAATATGATACCCGGCCGTTAATTGAATACAGGCCAATATTAGAGGGTTTACGGTAAATTTGTTTGTGTGCACCATTCTACCTAAGCAAATTCCTGGTTATGTGAACCAGCTCACTTACTTGGTAATCAAATGATTCTGATTTTGATACGGACTGAGCATAAATGTTAGCTAAACACCAAATGTATCATGGTTAGGTAATGACAACACATAACTTTAACAGCTCTGTGGAACAGAAAGGAAATGTATCAGGGAATTGGCTCCACAAAGCAATTTCTTCACCAGCTACTACTACTTACTTACTAAAAACAATTTATCCAGTGGTTATGAAGGCTTTGTCTTAATTTTTTAGTCTTTTGCTGCCAACAATATTGAGTCACAAGAGAGGCAGCCTGTCAAATACTCCGAGCGCTGCTGCCACCAGCTGACTGGGGGTGGTTTAGTATTCCAGCATGAGAAAAGATGCTTAAAAAATGGATTCTCCTGCTTCTCGCGCTCCCATGACAACGAGAAACACTGCTATTAGCTATCTGGGAAAATGCCGACACAAAAGAGAGGGTTTCATGTGATAGTTAAAGCTGCAGTTGTCTGCAAAGCTCCTGAATGACCCAGAATCTGTTGTGTCAACTATTTTGCACGGCCGGAGTTACAGCTGTAACGGCAAACGCCAACAGTGTATGGGGTGGGGGTTGTCTGCATAGCGTGAGGGCGAGTCGATGCCTGAGCTGACAGAGCGATGCGTTTGATCATTTGTCCCATTTTGTTTTGGTGGAGCTACTGCAGCCGTGAAAGGTATAGAGATATAAATTATATGTTACTGGAGACACAATCCTGCTTTAGAACGACCACACACCATCATCAGTGTACCAATGTATACCTGTTTTATAGCCACCACCAGTGATCAGATTGGTATCGTCTGGTTTTATAAGGTCATGAAGTCATAGAGTAATGTCAGCTTCAGTTCCGAATCTTTGGTCTTCTTTTTATTTCTTCTTTCACCATGTCACTTCATGTTGCAGAAGCATTTGTTCAGCAATTATAATTGTTTCTTAGGAATGTGCTCAGCAGGTCGCAGTCATGTGGATTAAACAAAACATTGGCTCAAAAATGTTCACGTCAAGGACTTTTTTGTAATATATTTGTTGAAGTTACTCTATCAGTCCTAATATGTATTCTTACCTGGTAGGTAAAAAAAAATTGAAAAGTTCTAAATTAGCATCAGAAGTTCCAACCTGGCCCTGTTTGACTCAGTTGGTTTGTTTTACTTCATGGTTACTTCAGGGCTTTTTATCAGTAGTGAACAGATTCTTGTGTGTGCCTTTCACCAGAGTAACCATCCCATTAATAAAATATAATTGCTCTCATTCAGACAATAGTTGTACCTCCTTTTGATTGTATTCATTTGATTTGAAAAGGTAAAATCATTTAGTCAAATGAACAGTTGAAGCTATGGCTTGATTTAAAATGTCCATTTAGTTTTTTCAGGAAATGTAAGTTTGTCTATTAAAGTTTATTTTCCACTGTTCATTCCTAAGAAAATGATCTTGACTCATCAGAACACAGGCAAATGTTTTAACTTGAGTTCCATTAAAAATATTTCAGAAGAAAACTTCTCACTTCTTACACTAAAAACCAAGTTAATCTC